TCAGGCTTTATGCTGCTGGGCGTTGTGCCGGTTCAGCTGGTAGCGACAACTGTGACAGTTTCTGCCTAAAACTTTCAGAATCACAGTATTTCCACACAAACTTAATAAAGTAGCATTAGGTAGCATTCCAAGTTCTCACATCTTCTTTTTTTCATTTTTGTTTAGGCAAAATGTTCAAATCACGTTTTTATGAAATACATAAATTGTTTTACTTTCAATTTCCATATGAAATGACTTCTTCTCTGTCAAGTACCATTTTAATGGAAAATGTATTTCTTCAAAATGTGTAAAGCAGTCATATTACTTTATTGTATTACACATCACCACAAACACTGCAAGCAGTGTTTGGTTATAGTTGCAGCAGCACAGGTCAACACTCAGCTTAAACGTCACAACTAAGTACATTAAGACAAAGCTGTGGAGGCACAATCATGTTAGTGCAATAGACATTTATATGGAAAGTACAAGCAAGAAAAATGTGACTCTTTTTCAGCCTGTAGGCCAAAGTAAGACGTCACAACATATGTACAAATATGAGAAGTTAACTTAAAATATGTATTCCTGAGCGAATACTTTAGTTGACCAGCTGGAAGTGGTGCACACAGCATCATCCTTCTCATTCTTAAGTCTGAGTGAAAAGTAGGATTTTGGTGGCTGTGCTGCTTTTTGCCTCTTGCCTGCATTGATGTGGATCCTGTCATCCTCCGGGGGTTTATCTGCAACTCTATCATGTGTGGCTCTACAAGATAAGGAGTGGTCTATGTATTTCTGTGTTTTCATGCCAAGTGATACACTGTTAATTAAATTATATGACTTAACTGTGATAAAACATATTAATGGTGCTTTTAATATCACATTCATTGTGAAAAATAAATACAAAGATAAAAAAAACAGCTCATTACACCACCCAGTGTTTCAAACCGTCAACTTGCAAAGCTAATCCTGACAGATAAGTCAACCATTTAGGACGTCTCCAAGTCATGTAATTTACATTCAAGTTAATGCCATCTAATCAAATGTGAGCAGGTTCATTATTAGACTTCCAACATGGTGTTTATTGACGAACAGTGTTCTGGTCTTATTCCAGTAGTGTAGTGTTAATATTGGCACCTCCCTACTATACACACTCTTATACCTCTTGTACATCAATGTATTTTTTCCCCAGAGGGTCAGGATCAACACCATGTTCAACATCACAAATGCACCCAGCAGCAGGAGATATATCACTAATGATCAGAGCCGATCAGAGTCTACTGCAGAGTCAATCAAACCTCGGAGTAAATGTGGATTGGATCTAATACTATTGCATGCACGATCCAGATTGACCAGTGGAAAAGGGGCTTAAGGGAGTCAGCGACTGCAGCACAAATACACACACCTGGGTGATGGACATTATTGGAGTGGATGGCAGCTCTTGGAAATTTTGTAATACATTCATGATAATTGCATAGCTTTTAAACTTATTCAAACGTGTGTTAGCTTTCTATCCAACATTGCATGAACCATACACACACCCTCTCTTGCACTGGCATTGCCTCAGCTCTGAGAGCTTGGGCTTCAGCTGTAACCGAGCTGGAGCCAACGGCACAAACTGATGTGACTCAGGACCACCATGGTTCTTTACCACATTAATGCCCACTGGATGTCATGGCAGTGTCACTCTCACATCCAGCTCTGCCTCCCTCAGCAATATTTTGCACATATTGTTTGTCGTTAAGTTTTATTTCAGATGCAGTGATGAAAACATGCCTCAGAGCTGATATGCCCAATCAGATGTGGCTCGTAGTTACAGTCACAGTTTATTTTGTTCATCATGCTTATATAACCCACTGCAGGTCTACAGTCTCTGTCTAGTTACCATCCCATTCACTTCAGGGCTTAAAAAAAAGAATCACAAAAAAGAAACAGCTCGTCTGTTGCAAGATTAATGGATGTTTTTACTTATCTCAGGACTGTGCAGAATTTACAGATGTTTCTGATTGACATGTCAAATTCTCCTCTTCCAGCTTTTGAGGCAGGGAGACCCTCATCTTTTTCATTTGTACAGATATTCCCCACTCGAGGAGCAGAGCTAATTTGATTCCTTTGCAAGATCGACCCAAGTTCTTGACCATAGCTAGATATGACTGTAATTGACATGTTAAGATAACAAGCCTCTCCAGCATTTTGCAATTTGACAGTAGGAAAAACGTTGATGATAATGGTTAAATGGAGGCCTGGGTCCTCCTGCTGTGGCCCTTGGTTCAGCCCTGACCCGGTCTTTGCTGCACGTTGATCAATAAATGCCAAAAATAACCTGGAAATATTATTAAAATGAAATCAATAATAATGTGTTTGATAAAAAATGGATACAAATCAAAACACTGCAAATGCTAACCATTACTGCTATTTTCTTTCCTATTCATATACTATATGAAGATGGACAACATGACTGCTCCCAAAAAGTAAAGCCAAAACATTTGAGCCGCCACCTGGTGGCTGGTTGCAGTACATGTCATAAACTACACCACATGTTAGTGGATGAGACATGCACCAATCTAAAAAGTCAATTACATGTTTACATTTCTTGAAGATGGTCTCTGTCATTGTTGGTAGTTCTTATCAAATTGATGTTTGTTCAAGCGTTACTCTTCTGGTAAGTTTGGTTTTAATTTATTTGATGCTATATAAACAGGTTGAAACGTCATGATAGACAGCGGACACTGACTTGCGATTAGTTGAGCATGTTTATCAACGGGACTTTGATACCACTCCACCATCCCCCATCGCTACTGCTCAGACTGTAGCTCCAAATGTGCACGATGCTAGCATTTGTACCCAGAAAATGTTGAATAGTAGGAGAAAGAGGAAAAGCGTTGTCCGTTTTGACATAAAGTTTGTTGGTCTGAATACATCAGAAAATATATAGTGCGCTCCAAACAGAGCCCGGCTTAATGCGGATGTGAGCCGGCTGAGTGTCTCTCAGGAAGAACATTACATGCAAGAAGAGAATTGTTTACAATTCAGACTAATAAACACACTGATGAAGTAGCTGAATCCAAATGGGAAAGGTTGTGTACTGTCTCTGCGTGTGCTGGAATTCCTCAACGGAAGTAAGCATAGAGGATTTCTTCTCTCCATCTCTTGGACACCTAGGATCCACAGCAGTCTCTGTACTCGGCCTCGTTACAAACCCTCCTGTAGAGGTGATTTCCACTCTGCCCGCCGTGACTTTAGCAGACCTGCAGCCACCGGCAGGTGATTCATTTTATCCATTCACTCCTTTACAGAATAAATCAGGATTCAGGTGGGTACTTGAGAAATGACTCATTTCCTCTCTGCAGAAATCTTCACCAGTTTTCAAAAAAATAGGAATAAACAAAAAAGTTTGACTGACAGCAAAAAACTTTTTAGTTGAATTTTAAGTTGAAGCAGTTAAAAGGAATTGAGGCAAATATGAACATCACAATCCCAGATAAAAACCTTTACTTTCTTCATGGAAGTCAGCATATAAATACTGTCTCCTGCAAATAAATCATCCACCGAGAACAATTCATTTCTGTTCCTTTTTCAGAGATAGACACATTTTCAGTTTCAGAATTAACAACCTTTTCCACCAACTATACAAATGCAGTAATTTTATACACTGCAGCACTGGTCACAACATGTGGGAGTTACTGATGCATTTCAAACCACGTAACAACTGTGTCCCAGTTCCATGCTGTGACGGTACATGATGCACTCATTTTCACAATTTTGTCTTTGCAGTTAGTGAGCAAAAAAGTAATGGATTCCATTCCAAATGACACAACCCACCTCTATTTTCATTGTGTATACTGAACAAAGAAACAGGAAAAATGCTTCTACAAATACCATCTTTTCTCCTTCTCTCTCTAAAAAACCCCCAAACAGTACCGAAGGATAAAGCTGACTGGAGATTATTGCATTCTCCACACACACACACACACACACACACACACACACA